GGGGGGGGGGGACACTCTTAGGGGGAGCTGGGACAGAGTGGAGAGAGGGTACGGCTGGCAGGTTAGGCCCCTGCCTCATGCCCAGTACTATGCTAGAGTGGCTCTATGGTTGGTTGACTAGGAGAAGCATTTGTGTAACTCAGTTGGTGTGTGTCTGCCCCTGAACATCTCGCATAGGACCTAGAGAGGCTTGGAGCTTGTCACAGCATCACCGTACAAGAGGGAGCCTAGTGTTGTAAGCTGGAAGACTGCATGGTAACCTAGTTTCAGGTTGCACTTACTAGAAAAAATTACAACACCCTACTTCAAGGTCTGGGCTTCAGCTTAACAGAGGGGTAGGCAATTTTTGACCCGGGGAGAGGGGGCACTTCAAAAAGTTCTGAAGTAGCCCTGGAAGGGGTGGTGCCAAGACACTTCTGTGCTTCCCTGCTCACAGACCCTGACTGATCTGATGGTGGGGGAGCACCTGAAGTCTTTGCCCTTGCCCCCTGCTGCAGAACCACCAGCTCGTCTGAAGAGCTGGTGGTTCCCTCTGAGCACCTGCCCCTGTGGCAGTGAGAGGAGACGTCACATACTCCCCATCTCTCTCCTCCCCTCCCAGCCCTGGTTGGCCTGGGGAGGGGAGTGGCAGGATCTCAGCAGGCTTGATCAACCTGTGTGGGAGCCAGGATACAACCCATGGAGGCCCTTTTGCCCACCCCTAACTTAACAAAGGGTTGCTTGGTGACACCCGCCCTCAGCTGAAAAACACTGCTGGAGAACATCTCCCACCACCTGTGCACAGCATTGGGGGACCACCTGATACACAGCCCTTCCTTCTAGTTAGGTAAAGCCCTCTTTGCTCAGGTGGTTGTGGGAAGCCCTTGCTTGGCTTTAGAGTCTAGCCGGTGGAGACCAGGTTTGCTGGCGAGTGCATGACTCACCTCTCCTTAAGACGGGTAGGGAACCTCAGGCCTGGGGGACAGATAAGCCCCGAGTCTTGCCTGATTCCTGTCTGAAGGCTGGCCCCTTGGTGTGGCTGGAGCACGCACAATCTCCTCCCCCCCCCTTTCAGCAAGGCATTTTTCTCACTTGTGTAGTGCCTCTCACTGATCTCCCTCCCCCCCCCATTGGTCAGTGCCCTGGACGCCACGGGGCAGGTTCCCCAGCTCTGCCTTCAGGGCTCAGACAGCAAAACCCAAACCAGTGAGGGAGGGGCAAACCCATATCCCGGGCTGCACCACGGGCCCCCTTCGGGAGGCTTCCCACGCCCTTGGCCCGCCCCACTTCCCCCAGTCGCTGGCGGGGGGGCACGGGGCCAC